GAAATTTATAATCCGGTGAACGGTGAATGAGCTTCTCATAAGGAGACATGTTATGAAGCTGAGGTGTTGGTAGGCGGTTGATCAGAAACACTGCAGTGGAGAAGGCTTCAACCCAAAAGCTAGGAGGTAATCGGGATTGGGCCAACAAGCAGAGGCCCATTGCAACAATATGTCGATGTTTCCTTTCAACCACTCCATTTTGTTGGGGAGTGTATGGACAAGAGATCTGATGCGAGATGCCATGATTACGTAAAAATGTGAGAAATAATTTGCTGGTAAATTCACCACCACCATCAATCTGCAGCTGCTTGATTGTAGAATTAAAACGATTTTCCACCATTTTCTTGAATGTAATAAATGTAGAAAGAACATCTGATTTCTTAGCCAAAGGGTATAACCAAGTGAATCGAGTGTTATCATCAACAATGGACAAATAATAGCGATAGCCAAAATTTGAGGAAATAGGTGCAGGACCCCACAAATCAAGATGTAAAAGTGCCAAGGGAGATAGAGCATGAAGTTTTCTGTATTCAAAAGGCAAACGACAAGATTTTCCCAATGGGCAAATATGACAATTTTTATTTGATATAATTGTACCATCGATGGGTAAATGGTGCTTATTCAACAAGGTAGTAAGAACTGAATGAGATGGGTGTCCAAGTCGTGCATGCCACACATCCTGGGTTGTACGCTCTCCATAGAATGCAAACTGTTGAGCAATGGGGTGGGCCGCATGAATGTGATAAAGGCCATCAGAACTATTGCCAGTAAGGAGTACTGTCCCCGTCTTGTTGTCCTTTACATGAAAACCATTAGCATCCAACTCAAAGAGACAATTATTATCACGACAGAAACGACGAATAGATATCAAATTCTTTCGAATCGCAGGCACACACAACACTTCATTAAGATTTAAAGACTGATGCAGGCCGTTCAATTTAGTATTGCCAATATGAGTTATTGCTAACTGATTTCCATTGCCAACAATAATCGTATCAGTACCTGTGTAAGGCTGGGCATGGGGTAGGGAGGCTGTATTGGCTGTCATGTGATGGGTGGCGCCAGAGTCAAGACACCAATTGAGGTTTGCCACATCAGTAGTAGGAGACTGGTTTGCTGTATTTTCTGCCATGTAGGCATGAGGCCTACGGTCCGGACAGAACCGGGCTATGTGGCCGGGCCTATCGCATCTAAAACAAATAACTTCAGGTCGCTGGCTATTTGGAGGATTGGCAGATGGTGTTGGAAGAAGCGGTGGGCGCCCATCAGTCAAGGTCGCGTGAGAGGAGGCTCCTAGTGCAGGCTGATATTCGCGAGATTGAGAGGTGCGGTCTTGAGGCCAATTGCCTTGGTGCGATCCCCACTGATCTGAAGGTTGAGAGTTGCGTTCTTGAGGCCAATGGCCTGGGTTTGATCCCCACTGATCTGTTCGCCCTTGTCCTCGCCCACTGTGCCCTGGATTCCAATGTCTGCCACGTCCACGTCCTCTCCCAGAACTGTGATGTGGATTGTGATTGCGAGGAGCAGAGTGCAAATATGGATTGCGTTCGTTGGGCGTTCGATCAGCAGCCATAGCAACACCCGAAGCTACGGTAAGGGACATGCGTTTCTGCAAATGTTCTTCTCGTAAAGCAAGGTCATAAAATTGGTCGAAACCAATATCTGGATGCAAGTGAAGTGTGGTGGCTAACTCTTTGTATTCAAGCCCAAGGCCATCCAATACATAACTGACAAATTCATCATCATCCATCGTTGCACCAGCTTGTGTGAGGGAGTCAAGGAGTGATTTGGCATGGTTGAGGTAATCAGTCACCGTTGTGTTGTTATCCTTTCTGAGGGTGCGGATTTGGTCTCGAAGGATCCGCACACGGGTGCTTGCAAGGGGTGAGAGACGCTTGCCCAGCAGGTTCCAAGCTTGATGAGCGGTGATACACGGGATGAGAAGAGTCTTGATGGAAGGAGATGAAGTCGCCTTGATCCAACTCAGGACCAGTTTATCCCTGGCTAATTCAGGATGCACAGAACCATCTTCCTGCACTTTCGGTGGATCTGTGGTTTTCTTGATGACATCTGCAAGGCCATGCATTTCCAAAATATCTTCAAATTGGGATTTCCAACTCAGGTAGTTGGTTCTGTCCATAGGAATTGGGAACAGAGATGAGATGTTGAATGAGGTGGGCAAGGGAAGGGGTGAGAGTGAAGGTGAGGCAAGTTTTGACATTTCAGAAATCAGCTTTGTCATATCAATATTGCTTGATTCTCCAGATTTGGGTGTATTGGCCATTTGATTTGGTAGGATCGATATTCTTGAGCTTTGGCTCCGAAGAGCTCTGATACCATGAAAGAAAAGAACAAACTTAAGAAGGAAGAAGGAAGATGAGATGCAGAAGAGTAAAGAAATTGAATTGACCAAGTTGATTTTGATCTCTGTATTACAGCCGTATATATTGTGTACAGGAAGTAGACTTTCTCAAGTCTATTTACAGAAACTAAGCAATACAAGGTAAGTAGCATTAATCTCATATTTGCACATCAATTCTTAGCCAATAGGCCGCTGATCTGGGGATGATGATTCTGTCAGTGCTGATTTGGGGAGAACAACTGATTTTACGGAATGAGCTGTGGTGGTATTCTCTTTACGCTTCACTTGTTGTGACGTATGCCATCCGTTGCTTAGTTAGAACGGTTGCCGCCTTCAGTTGTTGTTCCCCTCTTATATGTCTACCGCTGGTTCTGTCATTGTTTTTCAGTGTGCTTGGGGTCGTTAGAATGGTTTCCGCATACGTAGCGTCAGCCACATTCTTGGCTGCCTGCAGTAGAGGGCGGCAATGTTTCCCGAAGGGCCCTGCCATTGCAACACAGAGAGAGAGAGAGAGAGAGAGAGAGAGAGATGATAAAAGATGAGAAGAATATAAACAAGTGTCTTGCTTGAGCAGAAGCTTATCGCTGGAGAGAGAGGATATGGGAGTGGGATTGGAAGAAGAGAAGGGGGTAGTATTTATACAGGAGCATAATCATTCCTCCCTGCGCAACATATTGTAAAAAAAAATCTTGCCCAATTATTTCAAAATTAAAAAGAGGAATGTAAAAACTACTTATTCAGTTCAAAATTTAAAAGAGGAAAGTAAAAAAAAAAACATGCCCAATTATTTCAAAATTAAAAAGAGGCATGTAAAAAAAAAACTTGCCTAATTATTTAATTCAAAATTAAAAAGAAGGATGTAAAAAAAAAAAATTGCCCAATTATTCAATTCAAAACTAAAAAGAGGAATGTAAAAATATATAACCTAACAGTTATTATTGTAGCACATCTTGCATGCTTAATTTTAGAATTTCTTTAAATCCTGTTTCAAATTACTTTAAATCCTTTTATTCAATCGTAATTCTTAATTACTTTAGCATTATTATTATTTGAGTTTAAATCTTTATAATTAATTACAGATTTTTTAATTAATTTTAAATGTCTTTTTTTATTTTTAGGTTTTAACGTAATTTTGACGAAAATGATCAAATTTATTAACAGATACAAACACAGGTACTAAATTGGCCAAATTAATAACATGGGGACTAAATTGGTTGATAAAGTAAAACACATGGACCATTTCTACGTTTATGCCTTTTTTCTAGAACGGATGGTAATATACTGCCGTTATCTTTCCCTATCTCTCATAAAAATTACTCTCCTTTATCTTCTTTTGACTCATCTTCCCTTTGTCTTCCTCATCTTTCCTTGTCTTCAATTTAATATGAACAGACCTTAACCAGTAATCTCGTTTCCTATTTTCCATTAATATTCATTGTGGTTATGAAAAAGCCTGTCTTAAATAGAATGAACTATACCAATTTCCAAATTAAATCTTAAAAAAAAAAAGAAATTAAAAAAATCTGGAAATTTGGCTTGGTCTCTACTCTTCTTCATTTGTGTCTCCAAATTTGTCTTCTCCTTTTTTTGGTTTCTTCCGCTAATTCAATTTTTAGCAAATGAAGATGAGTGTCTTTTTTCTAAGATGATAGAAGAAAGAGGCGGTGTTTTTTTTTTTTTTTTTTTTTTTTTTTTTTCTGAGAACGATAGAAGAAAGAGGTCGTTCAAACAAAGAGGTGGTGTTTGCCGTTAGAAAGAGGGATGTCGTTACCGTCAATTTGGGGAAGAAGAAAACACTATAGATTTTGCAAAATGCGAGTAAATGCGTGGACTTTAAATGCAAAAGCTTGCAATAATTTGTTAAAATGCAAACAAAAGCAATGAAAATGAAGATAAATCTAGTCTAACAGGTAAAGTCGACATTATGCCAAATATATAGCCTAACATTTGTTAATTGTAGCACACATATGCTTAATTTTAGAATTGCTCAGAAAAAATTCCTTCCTGTTTCAAATTATACTTTAAATCCTTTCATTAATTAATATCTTTAATCATCTATCATCAGATTTGGTTGGAAATTGTAACTCAAGCATAATTTAATATTCTATTAGTTTTTAAAAATATTCAATTAATTCGAGAATGTAGAAAAGGAAAATAATCCATCACATATTAAATGCAAGAGATATATGCGAGACCTCTTAAAACTTGCCTTATGTTTAGAGTATATAACCCTAAAAAGTAAAAACAGCGTAATAAATCTAAAATTGCCTGTTTAATGAAATCTTAAGTAGTAAGTAAGCCCTTGGTGCCCTAGTGAAATTGTAAAACAAGTAGCCGTCGCTTATAAACATGGATGATATATGAAGAGGGCCTCCACTCTCCATTTCAATATTTCTTCGAAACACACCCAACAAAGAAAGGAATTCGTTGAACGAAAAAAAAAATGAAAGCAGTGCGAGTGAATGAGATCTCATTTATGAAAGCATGCGGAAATCAATTTTTACAACTCACAAGAAGAATCACTCCTTCTCTAACTTCACCTTCACCTTCAACCATCCAACCACAAACCCAAGTATCCGGATCCCGAATACTCTCAAGCAGCAGCAACCCCTGCCTCGACCTCTATTTCCACCGCCCCATGGGATCAGGCATCCACTCCATGTTGGAATTCCAGGAGACTCTGACGAAGGAGCTGCTGCCGCTGGCTTGGTCCCACGATCCCCTCACCACCCTCAAGCTCATTTGCAACCTCCTAGACAGGTATAGGGACGGTTCAAAATCCGATGACGAGGCCTTCTACGCTGCAGCGTTTTGGCTGCACCACAACCACCCTAAGACCCTTGCCTGCAACCTCCTTCCTATTGCCAGCGCCTTCGGCCATATTCTCGACGTTCTCGACATTTTGTCTCGGGTTCTTCTACAAGGCAATGGCCAGCAGCAGGTTGATCAATACTCTATGACTTGGACCAGGAAGGAGAAGAACCAATACTTCCAGTCCCAACAGTTCCAGTTCCAGTTAACACAAAATGTAAGGAAAAAAAACAGGACAACTTGTCCTTTTCCTCGTCCTAATCCTAGACAGATTCGGCAAATCAAGGCCGAAAAAGACAAGAAGAAAGCGAGCGCCTTGTTGAAGAGAAGGAAGACGATTGCCACGGCCAACAAGGCTACTGACAGGTACCACGGAGACCCGGATTATCGGTTCTTGCACGACCAGGTTTCTGATCTTATGGCCGAGTGCTTGAAGCATGATATTCAAAAATGGAAAGAGCATCAGCAGCAGCGTCGTGAGCATGGCCAAAAGGAGAAGAAGATGAAGACATTGGAATTGAACATAACCAGTGTGGCAAGTTGCTTAGGTTTCATGTTGCCCCCCACGGATCAACTGATGTATGAAACCGTTGCGAGGAAGCTTTTCCAGCCAGGAGAATCCCAATCAGAATTTTCGAACGCAATGTCTCTTCAACGGCGGCTGCAGAAGGAGGTTTTGGTGCCCTTGAGACAAACCTTGGCGCCAGCCAACCAAGAAGGTGCCAACAAGTGGGGTTATGATCCATGCCCGGTGTACGACCGAGTGTAAGATTTGCATTCTAAACCCTAAGGTGGTCTTCTAATCACTTAAGGATAACTAGTTCAATGTCAATTAGGATTACATGGATCGATTAATTTTAAGGCTTGATATATGACTGTTTCAGATAAATACAAGTGCTTAAGGTTTCCTATTTCTAAATGGATTGAGATACCTAATCCTTTAGGTTAAAGGAGTTTAAGTAATCCATGATGAGGAGGATTCTTAAACTATGCCTATAAAAGGGAGGTCCCTATGCTAACGGCAAATACACATTATTCTCATATCATTCTACCCCATCAAGAAGAGATTAAGGAGCCGTATAGCATAGAGAAACTACCCTACATAAAATCTGCCTAACCTGAGAACCAGAACCTGCTGTAGAGTTCCAGTGCAAGAAATCAAGTTTCCTGCTACAGTAATTCACACAATGTCGAATCAAGGTATGTGTTTTGAATATATATAAACCTATTAAAGTTTACACATACAATATTTCCTAAACAAGAAACCTGCAATATTTTACGCTTGTCTCAGTAGAATAGTGATGTTCCTTGATTAGGCTTGTCTTTCATTGTTTTTGCTTCTATGAAATCTATTGAAAGTCCTTTTAGTCGGCACGACCTTACACCTAGGCTAACTTAGGCTGTAGCCTAGGTGAGTTTATTTTTTGTAGACTAAAATAATACCACAGCCCAGACCACGTGACATCCCCACCCCACCCAATTAAAATCTCATTAATAAACCTAAACCACATGTCTGACCAATAAGTTCATAACAATAAAAAAATTAAAACTAACCCTGCACACAAATAAAATCCCATTAACAAACCTACAGTATAGTATACCACGTCTGACTAATAAAAAATACAAACTAAACCCCACACGGGACCAGTTATGCAAAAAAGATTCATTCTCTCTTTGCTCAGTTACCCAAGCCCTCTTCTTTGAAAAAAAACAAAAATCATACCTCCACGTCATTCTTGAAGACTTAATTAAAGGAGGTAATTTTCAATTCTTCATCTTCTTTAATTTTCTTCTCTAAATTTGTTGATACTGAAATTTTGGAGATTTAGGGTTTATGAAGTATCAATTAGGGATTTACAATTGAGACTTATGAATTATCAATTGGGGATTTTGTTGGTCTATATGTATACATCTTCTGTATATCATTCAATAGGTTGTACTTTATAATGGCCAATATAATTTTACCCATCAAGGTGGGCCTAACAACCAATATGGCTCAAGTAGTCAATTTGGTTGCCAATATGGTGGGCACAACTATGTTGGCGAATTTGGTGGCCAATATGGTGGGCACAACTATGTTGGCGGATTTGGTGACCAATATGGTGGGCACACCTATATTGGCGGATATGATCTTATGAACCAAAATGGTTCGAATGATCAAAATGGCTTTGGTGGCCAAACTAATCAAATGGCGTGGGGCCAATACACTTGCCCAGATGGCCAAAATAATTCGACCAATATTTATGATCAACCTAGTTATGGCTCCCACCAAACAAATCATCTGAATGGCTATAATGGCCAAAATGTTCTTAGCATAGGTGAGAGGCCATATGTTGACCGCACGGACAAAGAACATCAAAATTTCATAAAGGAAATATCTGAAGTGAAAGATTTATTTATGGAGATGGCAGTTTCCAACGAACTTTTGATGCAATATTTGTGTGAAATATCCTTGGACTTTTGATGCCCATTGGACAAAATTCCCTCTGACTGACAGTCATTGGACTGCAATAGAGGTGGAGTCCACCAATACAATGAGGCTCACTTCTATTAGAGAGGTAATATACAATATGTTATATGGTATGCCTAGCATTTTCCTTTGCATACTCAGTTCAGTTGGCATAGTTTTCGTCCAATATTATACTAGAGGAGGAAACTATAACAAAAATATTGAGGCTAATTTTTGGTTGGAGGATTAATGATATACCTCATCGCATTTCTTATACTCTTCTAGTTTTGATTTATAATTTTTTTCTCGTGAATATAATATAAAATTTAAGTGTTATAATGTAGCATAAATATATATATTAGGGGCAGGTTTTGGGAGATAGCCCTTAGACAAAAATGGGGATGGGGATTCCTAAAATATCTTACCGAGGATGGGAGCGGGGACATAGATTGTATTGCCATACTAGACCCCAAACTAGCCCATTGCCGTCCCTTGGGAAAAAGAGTGAAAGGAAGGAGGGAGGTACTACCGTACTAGAAGCAAGCGTGAAAAGCCTAGGGTTATTTTTTTGGGGGTAGTTTTTGTGAATTAATGATTTGGCTTGTGCCACATCATTTGGAATTTATAATATCTTAATTATGTATCATCAACCACCAGATTTCGACTTAAAAAGGAAAAGGATTCAACTTTATGTCACTATTTACCAAACAAATTAATGTGGAAGATTTGTTCAAAATGTAAAAGTCGTAAATTGGAATTTATGTAAGTAGGTATAATAATAAATGAATCTATCACAATGTGTAATTAGTTGTACCTACCAGATAGAAACGCCCAGTAAATCCTCATGAGTCATGACAGAGAAAAGAAAAATAGAAAAACTTTTGAACTCTCCGCGGTGTCATCCTCTCCATCACTCTAGCCTCTATTTCTGTTGTACACCTCTCTTTTTAGTTGAAAATTGTACCTTAACACATAATTTAATTATTTAATTAGTTTTTTTTAATAAAAAAAATTACAGAAAATTACAAATATTACAATATTTAATTAGCCTCTATGTAACTACATATTTAAATGTTTTTCTATTAATATATATTATACACACCTCTATTATTATAAAGTCAAGGCATATATCTGTATATATAAAGCAAAAGGCAGAGAATGGTAAAATATTCAAAATATCATAAAATGACCTTGGTTAATACAAACATTAAGATAATTTCAATTAAGTGAGGATAATATGATAAATTCACACCTTTTCATATTTAAAAAATTAAAATTGAAAACAAAATCCGATAATAGTTCCTATTTTTATGAAACACAACTGCCCATTCTATTTTTTAATTCTAAAATATAATAAAAACAATTGCCAATGGGGTAGTTTATATAAAGGGAGAGATAAAGAACAGTAAAATATTCAAAATGAAAAAACAAAAAATTCCCTTATTTAAAAAATAAAAAACAATTAAAATTTTGTATTATTTTATAAACAATTAATAAAAATTTCATGTTTCGTCTATCTTGCGAGGCACAACAAGTTTAGGGAGGGTGCATGCGTCTCTTTCACCCCTTTCCAAAAAAAAAAAGAAAAAAAAAGAAGGCAAGCCGATGGGATTTGATTTGTTGCCTTTTGTTTTCTAGGACTAGACCAGTGGTGGGGGCCACTGACTCCCTATTGACTTGAGACTTGACCAACCCGGATTCGTACGGCAAAGATCTAGCCCTTAAAAACGGCCCAAATCTAAAATTGGCTGTTCAATGACAATGAAATCTAGTATAAAGTAGTAAAAGGAGTCTGGGCCCAAACACACCCATTCCCTTGGTGCCCAAGTAAAACTGTAAAACTGTAAAACAAACAAGTAGGCTCTTATAAGCATCGATGATCCGATCTCCATTTCAATATTTCTTGGAATCAAAACCAACAAGGCAAAGGCAATATGAAGGCAGTGCGAGTGAATCAGATCTCCTTTCAGAAAGCATGCGGGAACCAATTTGTACAACGAATCTCTCCTCCTTTGTTGCTGCTCCTTCACCTTTGCCCACCCAATTATCCGGATCCCAAATGCCCCGACCCGGAATCCGAATACTCCCAAGCAACCCCTGCCTCGACCTCTATTTCCACCGTCCCATGGGATCAGGCATCCACTCCAAGTTGGAATTCCATGAGACTCTGATGAAGCAGCTGCTGCCGCTGGCTTGGTCCTACAATCCCCTCACCACCCTCAAGCTCATTTGCAACTTCCTAGACGACGACGGTGAAAAAGGCGATAGCGAGGCCTTCTACTCCGCAGCGTTTTGGCTGCACCACAACCACCCCAAGACCCTTGCCTGCAACCTCCTGCCTATTGCAGGCGCCTGGGGCCATATTCTCCACGTTCTCGATACTCTGTCACGGGTTCTTCTACAAGGCAATGCCCAGCTGCAGGTTGATCAATACTCTATGACTTGGATCAGGAAGGACAAGAACCAAGAATTTCAGTCCAAAAAGTTCCAGATCCAGTTAACACAAAATGCAAGGAGGAGGACAACTCCTCCTAGTCCTAGACAGACTCGCCAAATCAAGGTGGAAAAAGCTAAGGAGAAAGCGAGCGCCTTGTTGAAGAGAAGGAAGACGACTGCCATGGCCAACAAGGCTGCTGACAGGTACCACGGCGACCCGGATTATAGGTTCTTGCACGACCGGGTTTCTGATCTTATGGCAGAGTGCTTGAAGCATGATATCCAACAATTCAACCAGCATCAGCAGCAGCGTCGTCAGCAAGAGCATGACCAAAAGAAAAAGAAGATGAAGACGTTGGAGTTCAACATAACCGGTGCGGCTCGTTGCTTCAAATTCGTGCCGCCCCGTACAGATCAACTGCTGTATGAAACCGTTGCAAGGAATGTTTTCTCGCCAGGAGAATTAGAATCAGAATTTTCGAACCCAATGTCTCTGCGGCGGCGGCTGCGGAAAGAGATTTTGGTGCCCTTGAGACAAGCCTTGGCGCCAGCCAACGAAGAAGGTGCCAACAAGTGGGGTTATTATCAACGTCTGGTGTACGACGGAAAGACCGATGTCTCTGATGTACTCTCTGCCTCTGCGGCTCGCAAGTATTTGGTGGCGCTGAAAAAAGCCATTGCCGCCGCCGAGTCCAAGTCCGAGTCCGTGTCCGAGAACATGATTAATGCCGGTGATGTGCTTCCACACTGGATCGTACGCTACGGAGTGGACAAAAGTGGTGGATTCGAGCGAGCGGCTGAGCTTCAGTGGAAGAGAATGGTGGAGGACGTGTACAAAAAGCAGGGGAGGCTGAACAACTGCTTGGCTGTTTGTGACGTGGCGG